TCCTTCCTTCCTTCCTTCCTTCCTTCCTTCCTTCCTTCCTTCCTTCCCCCAAACAATCTGTGAGATTGATCAGAGAGCTACTGATTGTCCCCAAAAGAAGCACTTCTATTTATATCTGAGGAAAGGATGCAGCTTTTTTGAAGGGCAACAGATTACTGTTAGCTTGCCTCTGAAAGCAGCCGCACCATTTTTTTCCAACTTGCAGAGAAACCTGAAAATATTCCATCTGAACACTCCATCTGAATCCTTTTCAATGTATGCACAGCTCTTCACTTTTTACTTTTTATAAAAAAAATTACCACCTTTTGTGGACTGGGGGATTGGATTTAAACGGCATCAGATTATCCAGCCATCCAATTCAATAACTGGCATTGAGTCTTTTAACTAAAATTATTCCCAGTTGCACCTGGGCATGGCTAGAACTGAGAGGCAGCTCTTTGCAGGCAAAGTACATCAGGAACTTTCCTCCATCAATACCTGAACCATTTCTCTCTTAAGCCCATGCAGCATTTTACAGATGCAGCTTCCCTCTGACCCTCTGGAAAGTGGGTGGAATTTTTCCCTTTTAGGGTTTGGTTTCAGCTCTTCAAGTGGAGGTTTCATCAAAATGCCTGGATTGAATAGAGTTGAGGGGGGGGGGGAGAAAATAGAACCAGTGCACAATGTGAGAGGCGGGTAATATGCCCATGATTATTCATGGATTGGCTTTCCAACTCCTTCCCTTCCCCTTCCCACAGTATCATAGCAACCGTGGTGCTGCAAAAAGCTATTTTAAGAACAGTAACTTTTCACTGAACGTGCCTATGAGGTAGAGTGGGCGAACTCAGGCTTTAAAAATTGTGCACTGGGGAACTGTGTGGCAAGAAAGCCAGATCTTCTTCTTCTTCTTCTTCTTCTTCTTCTTCTTCTTCTTCTTCTTCTTCTTCTTCTTCTTCTTCTTCTTCTTCTTCTTCTTCTTCTTCTTCTTCTTCTTCTTCTTCTGCATTAGAAGAAGACATTTGAGAAATTTGTGAGCAGCATGCCAAATTTTAATTGATTATGACAAAAGATCCATGGGAGATGTTTCTTTTTTTTAACATTTGAAATATTATTTAACATTTAAAATGCACAAAAGAATAATATTAAGAAAATTTGGAAAGCTCATTCTGGATGAATAGAGTGATCCCCCTATCAGCATATTAAATTCTTTGTGGATTATTAGGTCTTCCAGTTGTTTGTAAGTACCATATGTAACTATAGAAATGAATATCACCTACATGCTACTTTTAGGAGTAAGCTTTTTTATTTTTAGTTTATATACACACATACAGATGTTTCTACTGTCTGTACAGAAAGGTTAATCTTATTAGTGTCACATATCTTAGTTTCACTGCTTTGTGGAAAATTTCATTTTAATTGTTGCCTAAGAAGGAAGGAACAATAGCTGCTATAGGGAGCTGTCCCAGGTGCTGACAAGTCATCTATTATTAACAAACAACTCACTCATCCATATCATTGCATATGCTTTACTAATGCTAGTAACATTAACTTAAACCTGTAAAACAGACACAGAGTATTTTCCATGGGTTCAGGATACATTTTATAGGGGAATGGTTATCTTTAATCCAGTAATCAGAACCTAAAACCCTACAAATACTAAAACTTGTGAATAATAAAAGAAATAATCGAGTTAACATACCTAGTTTAACCACTCCTGTTCTTTATGTAATTCTTTGACAACTCTAGATATTTTTAAAGCTATCATTTCCTAGACAATCACTTTTCCTTTACGTAGCCCTTTCTTCTGTGAAAGAAGCCTGAGACTATCAGATATTTATGAATTGCCTCTTTAAAATTTAAATTCTGGGAGTTGAAGTCCTCCAAGCTTAAAGTCGCCAAGGTTGGAGACCCCTGATCTAGAACACACAAAGAGAAATAACAACCCCCTCTAGCACATGTGATAATTAGGTGTCACGGTCTGGAAATCATTTTTTTTTTAGAGCACAACTGCAGCCTTTAAAAATGCAGAGTTCCTTATGTCTCTGCCAAGCCCCCAAATAACTATAAAATGGCAAGCATGTGTTTATAGTAGGAAGTTAAAGCAGTACATTCTGATCGGATTCTATTGGGGAAAAGGAAAGGGGCCAGATAAAGACAGAAATGTGTCTGAGTGGGAAGAAAAATTGCTTGAAAATTTGGTCCCTTTGAGAGTGGTTGAGAGGGGTTATTATGAAGGAGCACACAGTTTTGGTTAGGAGTGCTTTGTGTTTATCAGATGGGCTCTTGGAGTTGAAATCTTCTGTTTTTTTGTGCCTCTCAATGTAGATAGCAAAACTCTGGGTTTTTCTCTTTGTCACATTAGTAGCATATAATAAAGTGTTTTAATAGCCTTTTAATAGCCTCTTCCACTGAAGTTGGCATGCCACTACTCCCAAAAACAGAATTGAATTCAGAGCAAATACTAGTAGAATAAAATCCTTCTTTGTGATGTGTGGGCATTTTTACTAGAGATGAGGAGAGTGATTGTCCCACACATTTGGAAGGCCTCCTCTCACCCAGCACAATAAATA